ACAGGAAACACAGACTGCTGCAGTAACACCAGTCTGACGTGGAGACATAGGAAACACAGACTGCTGAAGTAACACCAGTCTGACGTGGAGACAGGAAACACAGACTGCTGAAGTAACACCAGTCTGACGTGGAGAATAGGAAACACAGACTGCTGAAGTAACACCAGTCTGACGTGGAGACAGGAAACACAGACTGCTGAAGTATCACCAGTCTGACGTGGAGACAGGAAACACAGACTGCTGAAGTATCACCAGTCTGACGTGGAGACAAGGAAACACAGACTGCTGCAGTATCACCAGTCTGACGTGGAGACAAGGAAACATAGACTGCTGAAGTAACACCAGTCTGACGTGGAGACAAGGAAACATAGACTGCTGTGAGTAACACCAGTCCTGACGTGGAGACAAGGTAACACAGACTGCTGAAGTATCACCAGTCTGACGTGAGAAAGGAGACTTAGATGTGAGCAAAACACCTAGGAACTTATTTCTTCCGGTTACAGAGTTAGCTATTCTTCCTCAGTGATATGTGTCATGTTCCGCACTGTGGTATGAGACTGTATGATAAACCAATAACATAATAATTTGTGAATCTGTCTGAATATTTGAGTCTCAGTTAAGGTAAACATGACGGGTGACCATGTGACATATTACTTGCACTTCATGGTACTACACTCTCATTGGAATACAGCTATTACTATAATTTACCTACTCAGGTCAATGATGTCTTACATTAAAGGCTGACTCACCATCTGTCTTGACAGTAGTACAAGGTAACTCACCATCAGTCTTGACAGTGGTACAAGGCTGACTCACTATCAGTCTTGACAGTAGTGCAAGGTAACTCACCCTCAGTCTTGACAGTGGTACAACGCTGACTCACCATCAGTCTTGACAGTAGTACAAGGTAACTCACCATCAGTCTTGACAGTGGTACAAGGCTGACTCACCATCAGTCTTGACAGTAGTACAAGGAAACTCGCCATCAGTCTTGACAGTGGTACAAGGCTGACTCACCATCAGTCTTGACAGTAGTACATGTGTAACTCACCATCAGTCTTGACAGTAGTACATGGGTGACTCACCATCGGTCTTGACAGTAGTACATGAGTGACTCACCATCAGTCTTGACAGTAGTACATGTTGTAATAAAGTTGGTAGAATTACCGACAATATGTAAAGTAAAAGGACACAAGTGCAACTAATGTGACATTTATTGTGGCAACGTTTCGCTCTCCAGGAGCTTTATCAAGCCATTACAAACAATACATGGACACAGAGGGTATATAAAGGCTCAGAGTGAGGTGAATACTAGTGAGGTACCATTTCGATGTTCACTAGTGGTAGTAGTAGTAGTAGTAGTAGTAGTAGTGGTAGTGACAAAAGTAATACAATATGGTAGAGCAATTAATTCGTACATGAGTAAAAGGATATAAAAGCTATTACTTGGGTAACATAAAAATAGGTTGGACAAATATAAACTGGAATGAGGCAGCTTGTTTCAGTGTTCACTCTCTGTGCTTTGTGTAGTATAACAGGAGAGACTATGTGATGGCAGGGTTTACTGTTTTCAGGAGGATTCTTGCTAAGACTTCGGAGATGGTGAAGCTGCCGTTGTTTTGTTTAATTGTATTCGAAACAGCGATCAGTGCTGATTCAAGGCACTTGCGTGTGCGGAAATTAGTTTCTTTTATCACTAATTGGGCGTCTCTGAATTTCATAAGATGATTGGTGGAATTTCGGTGTTGTACAACACCGAAATTCCACCAATCATCTGTGTCCTCTGTGTCCATGTATTGTTTGTAATGGCTTGATAAAGCTCCTGGAGAGCGAAACGTTGCCACAATAAATGTCACATTAGTTGCACTTGTGTCCTTTTACTTTACAGTAGTACATGTGTAACTCACCATCAGTCTTGACAGCAGTGCAATGGTAACTCATCGTCAGTCTTGACAGCAGTGCAATGGTAACTCATCGTCAGTCTTGACAGTAGTACAAGGGTGACTCATCATCAGCCTTGACAGTAGTACATGGGTGACTCACCATCAGTCTTGACAGTAGTACATGGGTGACTCACCATCAGTCTTGACAGCAGTGCAATGGTAACTCATCATCAGCCTTGACAGTAGTACATGGGTGACTCATCATCAGTCTTGACAGTAGTACATGGGTGACTCACCATCAGTCTTGACAGCAGTGCAATGGTAACTCATCATCAGCCTTGACAGTAGTACATGGGTGACTCACCATCAGTCTTGACAGTAGTACATGGGTGACTCACCATCAACCTTGACAGTAGTACAAGGGTGACTCACCATCAGTCTTGACAGCAGTGCAATGGTAACTCATCATCAGCCTTGACAGTAGTACATGGGTGACTCACCATCAGTCTTGACAGTAGTACATGGGTGACTCACCATCAACCTTGACAGTAGTACAAGGGTGACTCACCATCAGTCTTGACAGTAGTACAAGGGTGACTCACCATCAGTCTTGACAGTAGTACAAGGGTAACTCACCATCAACCTTGACAGTTGTACAAGGGTGACTCATCATCAGCCTTGACAGTAGTACAAGGGTGATTCATCATCAACCTTGACAGTAGTACAAGGGTGACTCATCATCAGCCTTGACAGTAGTACAAGGGTGACTCATCATCAACCTTGACAGTAGTACAAGGGTGATTCATCATCAGCCTTGACAGTAGTACAAGGGTGATTCATCATCAGCCTTGACAGTAGTACAAGGGTGACTCATCATCAGCCTTGACAGTAGTACAAGGGTGATTCATCATCAACCTTGACAGTAGTACAAGGGTGATCATCATCAACCTTGACAGTAGTACAAGGGTGATTCATCATCAACTTGACAGTAGTACAAGGGTGACTCATCATCAGCCTTGACAGTAGTACAAGGGTGATTCATCATCAACCTTGACAGTAGTACAGGGTGACTCATCATCAGCCTTGACAGTAGTACAAGGGTGACTCATCATCAACCTTGACAGTAGTACAAGGGTGATTCATCATCAGCCTTGACAGTAGTACAAGGGTGATTCATCATCAGTCTTGACAGTAGTACAAGGGTGACTCATCATCAGCCTTGACAGTAGTACAAGGGTGACTCATCATCAACCTTGACAGTAGTACAAGGGTGACTCATCATCAGTCTTGACAGTAGTACAAGGTGATCTCACCATTAGTTTTGACATTAGTACAAGGGTAACTCACCATCAACCTTGACAGTAGTACAAGGGTGATTCATCATCAACCTTGACAGTAGTACAAGGGTGACTCATCATCAGCCTTGACAGTAGTACAAGGGTGATTCATCATCAACCTTGACAGTAGTACAAGGGTGACTCATCATCAGCCTTGACAGTAGTACAAGGGTGACTCATCATCAACCTTGACAGTAGTACAAGGGTGATTCATCATCAGCCTTGACAGTAGTACAAGGGTGATTCATCATCAGTCTTGACAGTAGTACAAGGGTGACTCATCATCAGCCTTGACAGTAGTACAAGGGTGACTCATCATCAACCTTGACAGTAGTACAGGGTGACACTCATCATCAGTCTTGACAGTAGTACAAGGGTGACTCACCATTAGTTTTGACATTAGTACAAGGGTAACTCACCATCAACCTTGACAGTAGTACAAGGGTGATTCATCTTCAGCCTTGACAGTAGTACAAGGGTGATTCATCATCAGCCTTGACAGTAGTACAAGGGTGACTCATCATCAGTCTTGACAGTAGTACAAGGGTGATTCATCATCAGCCTTGACAGTAGTACAAGGGTGACTCACCATTAGTTTTGACATTAGTACAAGGGTAACTCACCATCAACCTTGACAGTAGTACAAGGGTGATTCATCATCAGCCTTGACAGTAGTACAAGGGTGATTCATCATCAGCCTTGACAGTAGTACAAGGGTGATTCATCATCAACCTTGACAGTAGTACAAGGGTGACTCATCATCAGTCTTGACAGTAGTACAAGGGTGATTCATCATCCGCCTTGACAGTAGTACAAGGGTGACTCACCATTAGTTTTGACATTAGTACAAGGGTAACTCACCATCAACCTTGACAGTAGTACAAGGGTGACTCATCATCAGCCTTGACAGTAGTACAAGGGTGACTCATCATCAACCTTGACAGTAGTACAAGGGTGATTCATCATCAGCCTTGACAGTAGTAACAAGGGTGACTCATCATCAGCCTTGACAGTAGTACAAGGGTGATTCATCATCAGCCTTGACAGTAGTACAAGGGTGACTCATCATCAGCCTTGACAGTAGTACAAGGGTGATTCATCATCAGCCTTGACAGTAGTACAAGGGTGACTCACCATTAGTTTTGACATTAGTACAAGGGTAACTCACCATCAACCTTGACAGTAGTACAAGGGTGACTCATCATCAGTCTTGACAGTAGTACAAGGGTGACTCACCATTAGTTTTGACAGTAGTACAAGGGTAACTCACCATCAACCTTGACAGTAGTACAAGGGTGACTCACCATCAGTCTTGACAGTAGTATACAAGAGTGACCTACCATCACTCTTGACAGTAGTAAAAGGCTGACCTACCATCATTCTTGACAGCAGTACAAGGCTGACCTACCATCATTCTTGACAGCAGTACAAGGCTGACCTACCATCATTCTTGACAGTAGTACAAGGCTGACCTACCATCATTCTTGACAGTAGTACAACGCTGACCCACCACCATTCTTGACAGTAATACAAGGTTGACCTACCACTATTCTTGAGAACAATACAAGGTTGACCTACCACCATTCTTGACAGTAGTACATGGCTGACCTACCACCATTCTTGAGAGCAGTACAAGGCTGACCTACCACCATTCTTGAGAGCAGTACACGGTTGACCTACCACCATTCTTGACAGTAATACATGGCTGACCTACCACCATTCTTGAGAGCAGTACACGGTTGACCTACCACCATTCTTGAGAGCAGTACCAGGAACGTACCAGTAGTATGGTATGAAGAACAAGGCAGGAAGGGTCATAGCAACTTGTAACCACCTCCAGGAGTGTATAGACCAGGCCAGCAGTGCAGCACTGAAGTAACCAAGAGTGTAGAAGGCTTGAGCGAGCACTCCCACCAACACACGCCGAGTCTTCCCTACAAGTTCCATGGCTGCAACACAACAGATATCCCAGTATTCTATAAGCCCAGTCTCCTCTACCTCAGTACATGCAAGAGCAATATTGTATAAAGCTTATTAACTTATAACTCAAGTCTAAAAATTGTTGAGTTTTTATGTGTATGTATGTATTTGTGCAAATGTGTATGTATATGTGTATTTGTATGCATATGTGTATGTGTGTGTATGTATATGTGTGTATGTATATGTGTATGTATGTGCGTATGTATGTATATGTATGTATATGTGTATGAATGTGTGTGTATGTATGCATGTATGTATATTTGTATTGACGTATGTATATGTGTGTCTGTTTGTAGGTATGTATGAATAGGAATGTGTGTATGTATGTGTGTAAGTCTATATACATGTATGTGTGTATATGTATGAATATATGCATTTATATGTGTAAGTATATGTGTATGTATTTATGTATGTATATGTGTATGTATATGCATGTATGTGTGTATGTATATGCATGTATGTATATGTGTATGTACGAATCTATGTATGTATATGTGTATGTATATTCATATATGTATATATATGTATTTCTATGTATTTATTTATGAATGTATATGAATGAATATATGTATGTCATGGAACAGGCGGCGGGGGCGTCGACCCCGCAACACCTGGAGGGTATGTATGTATGTATGTACTCACCTATTCGCTGCAGGGGTCGAGTCGTAGCTCCTGGCCCCGCCACTTCACTGAAATGGATGCATGTATGTATGTATGTATGTATGTATGTATGTATGTATGTATGTATGTATGTATGTATGTATGTATGTATGTTTGTATGTATGTATGTATATGTGTGTTCATGAATATATGTACACCATTGCATATGTATGCATGTGTGTCTTCGTGTACATATATACAGTTCTGTATTGTATGCACTTGAGTACTGTATACTGTATGTATATCTGTCATTATGCATGTATATATGTATTACTGCCTTTATATATATATATATATATATATAATATATATATATATATATATATAATATATATATATATATTATATATTTTTTTTTTTTTATCACACTGGCCGATTCCCACCAAGGCAGGGTGGCCGAAAAAGAAAAACTTTCACCATCATTCACTCCATCACTGTCTTGCCAGAAGGGTGCTTTACACTACAGTTTTTAAACTGCAACATTAACACCCCTCCTTCAGAGTGCAGGCACTGTACTTCCCTTCTCCAGGACTCAAGTCCGGACTGCCGGTTTCCCTGAACCCCTTCATAAATGTTACTTTGCTCACACTCCAACAGCACGTCAAGTATTAAAAACCATTCGTCTCCATTCACTCCTATCAAACACGCTCACGCACGCCTGCTGGAAGTCAAAGCCCCTCGCACACAAAACCTCCTTTACCCCCTCCCTCCAACCTTTCCTAGGCCGACCCCTACCCCGCCTTCCTTCCACTACAGACTGATACACTCTTGAAGTCATTCTGTTTCGCTCCATTCTCTCTACATGTCCGAACCACCTCAACAACCCTTCCTCAGCCCTCTGGACAACAGTTTTGGTAATCCCGCACCTCCTCCTAACTTCCAAACTACGAATTCTCTGCATTATATTCACACCACACATTGCCCTCAGACATGACATCTCCACTGCCTCCAGCCTTCTCCTCGCTGCAACATTCATCACCCATGCTTCACACCCATATAAGAGCATTGGTAAAACTATACTCTCATACATTCCCCTCTTTGCCTCCAAGGACAAAGTTCTTTGTCTCCACAGACTCCTAAGTGCACCACTCACCCTTTTTCCCCTCATCAATTCTATGATTCACCTCATCCTTCATAGACCCATCCGCTGACACGTCCACTCCCAAATATCTGAATACATTCACCTCCTCCATACTCTCTCCCTCCAATCTGATATCCAATCTTTCATCACCTAATCTTTTTGTTATCCTCATAACCTTACTCTTTCCTGTATTCACTTTTAATTTTCTTCTTTTGCACACCCTACCAAATTCATCCACCAATCTCTGCAACTTCTCTTCAGAATCTCCCAAGAGCACAGTGTCATCAGCAAAGAGCAACTGTGACAACTCCCATTTTATGTGTGATTCTTTATCACACACACACACACACACACACACACACACACACACACACACACACATATATATATATATATATATATATATATATATATATATATATATATATAATATTTAAACTTTCTTTCAACACACCGGCCGTATCCCACCGAGGCGGGGTGGCCCAAAAGGAAAAACGAAAGTTTCTCCTTTTACATTTAGTAATATATACAGGAGAAGAGGTTACTAGCCCCTTGCTCCCGGCATTTTAGTTGCCTCTTACAACACGCATGGCTTACGGAGGAAGAATTCTGTTCCACTTCCCCATGGAGATAAGAGGAAATAAACAAGAATAAGAACTAGAAAGAAAATAGAAGAAAACCCAGA